GGTCATCCTTTCGGGAACATGTTCCACTGATTATTTCAGGGAGTGTAGTGTTCTTACTGGGTCAGGTCAATAAATATCACACCACACCCACAAAACAACAGAAGTCTGGCCAGAACCACCGGCTGCACCCTCCGGGAAACTGTAGCATCTTCTCAAATCAAATCCAGCATCTCTCCATGAATTGAACGCCCAAAGTCTGACTCCGGCATGACCGATGTAATACACACAAAAACACGGCCAGAAGTTCCAGACGATCCTTGTCATGAGTTCTGGAGGACCTTCTATATAGAAGTCATATGACAAAGTCGGGTCCTTGTCATTCCCAGAATTTCCAAGATCCAAGCGGTCTTCGGTTGCTTTGCTTCACGTAGGTGTGAATCATCTAGAATCATATAGACACCCCAATGTGTTCCAAGAACCATACAGAACCACCACACAAAAAATGTTGGTTGTTTCCTTTTTCAAAGAAGGAACCTTGTGATTTCTCCGTCTTTTCTTTGTTTGTCTCCATTTGCCTCCATATCATCGTCCGTGAAACCAATTCTATGATCGAGATTCAGATCTGGGCCGAACCAAGCGGTCCCGCGTCCGGACAGCGAAGGCGCGAGGCAACGCGAGGGGCGAGGTGACACTCCGCCAGGTTCCGCGCTCCGGCCCGCCCTCGAGCACCGGTCTACCGATGGCCGGGTCCAAGAGGTGTCTGTGTCGAGCCGAGAAACTTCACTTCTTTGGCAGCCACCAATCGCTCGTGCCAGCGAGCTACATAGATCTGGGCACGTTCTTCAGTGGCCGACGCGGGTCAAGAATGGGCGCCCCAACACCGGATGCAGTTCAAGCATAGTTGTCCGAATGAATACCGAATACACACTAAAAAATATGTTAGGCCTGAAAACGATGCTGACTATCTGGAATCCCAAACAAATGGTTGCTCCAAAACTGCTTGCTTGAGACCCTTTACATAACAAGTAGTTGTTTGGGGAAACCGACCCTTTTGCTTATGATTGGGACTGGGTTTCCAGGTAGTGGTGTTTATGAACTGACCCTTTTGATGCTGGAGATCCTATCCAGACCGAAGTGAACCCCGAGGTCGGCAGAAATAGGACATTTCTGAGGGATTTTTCTGGGAGAGTACTGTAGGTCTTCCATCAGGGTCGCCTCATCCCAACAATCCAAATCCGACTTGTGCTGTGGCACGATGGGTCACACGTGATATGGTTTCTTGGAACCTGGATGATGGTGCCAATGGTGCTTGAGGGGTGTTCCTTCCTTCGAAATCACCTTCGATGTGGCGGGTGCTTAGCTTCGGCCGCGGACGAGGCGGGGAGCTTTGGGGGGAAACCCCAAATCAGGATGATCAAGGGTCCTGATGACTGCTTGGAGGTAGCAGCTAAAGCAAGATCCTTAAACTCGGCTATAATGAGTCTTGAAGGCATCTAATGGGATATTGTACCTGCTTGCTGGCGTTAAACGGGGTATTAGCGATGGTGCCAAAAGTACCTGGGAAAAGGGCATAACAAACCCATTGAACACATGGTACATCACATGTGCGACATGTGTCCCTCTTGGGTGGGATAGTCTCCATCAATGTGACAATATGTTAATGCTTGACCTTTACCTGAGATTATCGAAGAAAGAGTGGAGAAAGGAGGGACGCGAAAAGGAACACAGAAACAGAAACAAAAACTGCAACCACACGAAACACTGTGAGCAAAAATATAAAAGAACAACAACCACAAGCAACAAAATAAGGCAAAATACACACAGAGACCTGGTAAAGCATGGTAAAGCCAGCACAGGGCAATTTGATTTTCTGTGGAGTCTATCATGAACTGGACTCGCCACAAAGCTCCATCGGTTGGAAGTCGCCGCCTTGCTCGTGAAGGTGGAGCAAATCTCCTTCTCTAAGACCACCTGGGCAGATTGAAGACCGCACCAGAAACAAGCTACAGTCCGATCAATCGCCCACATGATGGGGATTTGATTAATATTATATATATATGATATATATAAAAGTAGATTTCCCTGTAAACAGGTCTCATTGCTTTGCATTTGGGTCTTTCAATTCTCGCGCTCAGCCACACTGACCATACCACATTGCCCACACGCAGTCAGATACTGTTTTTCTTCTTTCTTCAGCTTTCAGTGAGACGAATCAGCGCCCCCGCTGTCTCCAACACTCAATTGGACAACACCTTGATGGAAGATGGGAAATTTTAGGAAATTGGATTGAATTTCGATTCGTGTCTTTGAAATCTTAATCATGGCCAGCTCTCTCAAAAAGTCGGCCTGGCACGCCGAGCCAATGCAACCAGAATCTCCACTGCGTCCAAACACTTCTGATGGTTGACACGTTTTGATGCTAATGAGATCATCAATTCTGCCAACACACTTCCCCGCCCGCCCACGCCTTCATCAGCCCTGTTCATCGTAGGAGCCTGTGCTTGCCCGGCGCCGGTGGACGGCGCCGGCCACCAGCAGGATATTACGGTACAGCAAACCGAAATGATATTGCGCAAGGGGGGGATACCACGAAGAGGATATTACGCAAAATGGGCACAGAATCACTAGTGAGCATGCGGAATGTCGTAATGTCCTTACGTACAACCCCGCAGAACATACTACCTAGTGGCCCACTGAATTGTGAAAGTCCCAAGCTGTGACGGCAAGTATTCAAAATTATGTGGTTCTTATGGTTTCAACAATCACTGCCAGTCTGGAAAATTGGTTCCGAGTTAGTTTGTTGAAGCATTTGAACTAGCACCAGCCCAAGTCCAAACTCTTGCAAGCCTTCACGTCAAACAGGTGAGTCAGAGCACTAAAGGCCTCAAGAAATCTTTGGATTGAGTGTTCAGCCTACTTCCCTACCACCACGGTGTGACTTGCACTTGCACTGGAACACAGTGTTTAGCACCATTTTTCTCACCAGGCAACCCCTCCGGGTGAGGTAATCCCTGACTCTAAACTCGACCCCTCGACGCTTTCAGCATTCAAATCTGGATCTCCAACTTGGTGATTGTTATGCATTGGGTTCAGACATCAGAAATCAGGGGTGGCTGTGTTGGTTGCGCACTTGCGCTGACAATGATTTGGAACCACGCAACTCTATTGCAAACCTAGCCACCCTGAGCATAAATCTCGTGAGTAAGCTTCTCCAGCCCAAGCTTCCGGTGGATGCAATCGCGCACAATCAGTGCAATCAGAGCCCATCAATCAATCGATAAATCAATCATTCAACTACTCAGTACGAAACTATCGTCACAGTGAATCAATTCAATCATATCTATCACATCACTATTCATCAAACAAATCTAACAATCAGGCCCTGCGCGTGACATCCCAAACGAAGTGTAAACGATGCTGGGCCAACCTTGGAAGATCATCAGCTAATGCCCAACAGCCGCCATCGCAAGCCTCCAGTGAACGATCAAACACGTCATGTCCTCATTCCCACAAATGTTCAACAAAGCTGGGCCTTGGAATTCAAATGGGAATGGTCACAAGACTTGAACCAAAAGGATCAGTCATTAATTTGCTAAATATACCGATTCCTGAACGCTGTCATGGTTGAAGGGGTCGTTCTAAGGTTCAATGCCTGTTTTAGGCTATTCCTAAGCTTGTCCACCTAAAGGACAAAATTCATGCCATGCTCCATGGCTGGCTTGGGGTCAATCAGACCAAGACATTTTTTTCAATATCATCATCGGCTGGCTGCTCATGAGCCTGCATCTTCTGCTTGTCCTGGCCGTGCTGATGCTGGTGCAGAATTCCTTGGTTCGCCTGCAGAGGCTGCTGATGGCTGCGAGGTCGTTGATCCTGCATTTGCCACCTGCCGCTCCAACCCAAAGGAGTAACCCGTGGCATCTGGCGCGAAGGTAGCGCGGGCGGTGGACAAGAAGAACTCGTCCAGGCACCCCATCAATAGCATTGAACGATGCTGCTCGCGGAAGACCTTGGGCCGAACTTCAAACCTTCAAACCTTGAGAAAAATGTAAAAAGGTTGAGCTACAATTGTCAGGTGACCAGAAAATAGATGAAAGATTTACTCAAAACAGGCTAGGCTGCAATGTGCGGGGCATAGGTCAAGTCCAACGTCCACACTAATCTCGGCAGCACTTTTGCGCCAAAGCAGCAGGCCCAATTTTGGAACTCTAAGGAAACTCCCTCATCTGCCATGCGCCACTTGCCAACTGACCCAATCGCTGGATTCTGGCTCTTCGTCAGCCTTCCAAAGGTGATTGGTCCTCCAGCGGCAGCTCATCATGAGATTGAGGTGGCCGGCCCAACAAGTGATGTCCCACCTCCTCTATGAGATCAGCCGGCTGGCGCGGTCCGCCATAGCGGAGGCCCTCTGCCGAGAAGTCATTTCTTCCTGGTCAGACCCTTTCCGCTCACGCAAGTAGCACCATTCACGCCACCGACTTGCACGATGGTCTTTAAACTTCAAGATCCATGTCTTCTCGCCGGGCTGGTGCACCTCCCTGTGAAGCTGTGGGTCCAGGTGGATGTCCATGGCTTGGCTGGCAAGGTGAAGTTCGAAGAATTGTTCAGGTCAAATAAGGTAACTTGTCAGAACCTTGTGAGCAAATTGCTATGTAATATGACGAGTTAATGTGTTCATTCTCTTGGTTATCAGACTGAGGTCATAATGCAATGTACTATTCACCCGAGACCTGATGGCAAAATGCCTTCGGAAGGAACCGTGAAAGAACACCAAGAGAACCATCCTGGCATTTGCAGTGTCCCAGTGTACCTGTCCCCACCTTGGCGCCTCCATCCACGAGCCCCAAGGTTGCTCGCCATGCCAGCCTTTGAAAAGGTTCAAGTACAAAGTCCAAAAACAAATTCTCAAATTCTCAAAGTCAGGTCAAAAATATTCAGAAATAAATTCTAATTGACTATTAACTATCCAGCATCCTATCAACTCAATTCCCAACCCCGCCTCCAAGCGATACCAAGGCATGAAGACAGCAACGTTTGATCAAACTTCGGACGCGCTGCAAAAGTGTAAGACCTATATGTAATGTTATGACTCCTGAATGTAATGAAATCCATGAAATAAAAGAATACAGTAGAGTGAGGCTGGGAATCCGATTCAGATTGAACATCCCAACCTCCCCAAGTCACCAAACAACGGAGTCCATCGCGGTGTGACTCCATAATATCTGGTGTCTCAAACGTCGGCTTCGGATGTTTCCTGGTCCGCTCCGGTTCTAGTCGCAGAGTGAGTTGTGATCGATACGGACCCGCGGGAGGGAGGTATGGGTGGTTTATGGACACCTCTTTGGAACTACTTGGCACCATAGGCACGACCCGGGGTGAAGACCTGGGTGGAGTTGAAGACCTCTTTTGAATTGTTTTGACATAATTTCAGAGAGGAACACCCGTCTTTTCGCAAGAGCCAACACTGAAGGTGAATGTTTCTGCTTTGCAAAAGATCTTAAAGACGTGGAACAAAGGATTTGCAAGGCAGGCTCTCAGGCTCTCAACCTGGTTGAGAGGATCAGGTCTGCTTTGACGGAACTGATTGAAATTATTTGAAATTCATTGAATCAGGTCACTCAGGTCTTCTTCTTTGGTGCTCCCGTTTCTTCTCCTGTCACACCTCTGACGGTAGACTGTTAGACCCCTTGGCACCCACCCCAACTACCTTCACTTGAGGATTTCGAGCCCGAGGTTAAAGAACCCTATATAGACTATGTCCCATAACCCCAGGTTACGGATCCTATTTATTTCTCACCTGCCCTCGCCTCCTCGCACCTGGCCTCCTCCACATCGATCAGCAAGCCCTTCTCCTTCAGCTCACCGCTCCGCTCGAAGGGCCGTTCCGCGCAGCGGGTGTCCAGCGAGGCCGTTCCGCGCACGGACGTTCCGCCAGCGCTGCAGGTGGTGGGCTGCTCGGAGAGCTGAAGAGAAGGACACGTCCTGGGCCGGGCGGAGACGGTTTCTGGGCGGTGTAGCATCGACCTGTCGATGCTCCACAGCATCCGTGGGCAACATCGTCAGACATTTGTTGCTGTGCCTCACTGTCAATCTGTGGAACAAATCAAGCTGCCAAGGGCGCACCGGCACAGATGCTATTGGTCCACAGTTGCGCTAGGCTGGTCTACAGCTATACCCAAACGCTCCATGGGACTGCCATAGGACCATAGGACTGCCGATCAGTTCGGGTGGTTGACCTGGGGCAATGGGGTGGCAGTCCTATGCCAGTCCCATGGGATATACCCTCTCGGCCCCATGGTCAATGAACCCCCAGATCACCTGAAAGCGCCTAACTGACGCGTGATCCCTGCCGGCTTTCCTGACGCGCTTTCTCCAGGATCCCGGGTTTCCCAGTTGGGCTTGCAGGTGAAGGAACCCACTAAACCAGGGGCCTGGTCATGTTTGGAAAGGGTTCCCAGCGAACAAACGTCGAACGGGTTCTCCGCTGGGGAACCTTCCGGCCACGGCCACGACCTGGGGACCGACCTATCCGATCGAAGACCGGACCTGAGCGTTCCACGAGGTCGACTGCGAAGAAAGCCCGAGTGTCTTTGGGAAGAAAGCCCGTTCCTCAAACCTTCCACTCGTTCCGCTCGAACTGGGTGTGGCCTCGCGAACCCGATGGCGGGGTGCGGGTGGGTTTAAACATATGACTTCGATGAGGATCTCCTTTAAGTCCAAACCATCGGGACTGTGTCATCGTGACCTACATGGATGGGGCATGAAAACCGTGAAAACATGGAGGAAGTGATGGTAGCTCTTCCAGTATGGATCCACCGAGTTGGCCCGAAACCGAACCCGAAGAACGCGAGGACACTACCCGGACCGTATCCACCGCTCGAAGCGAAACAAGCGGCGACCCGGAGAAGGCAAAACATGGCAAAACGCAGTAGGTGCATGTTTGTAATAAGCTCGAAGCTTCAGGAATCGTGAAACATGAGTTGTGGAAAGCACCTTAAGATGAGTTTGCCTGAAGTTTCCCCAAGAGCATCCAATAACATAAGTTCCCTGGTTTCCAGCCTAGATTATATAATAATATATAAACAAATTGTTAAACAAATGTTTGATGTCTATACTGACCACAATGTCACAAGCTTGTGAGCGGAGGGCGGATGTTAAACTGGGATCTGTGGGAATAAAACGACCGAATGTCACTGTAGGGGGCTACTGAAACAAGCTTTCCCTCTCTACCTTCTACATCCGGGTCTTCTGGGAATCTCCAATTCATCAATCATCATCTCCCTATTCCTCAGCTTTTCTCAGCAAACTCTCCCATCCTTTTCCCGCCATCTCGGTGAGACCTCGTCACTGCGCGAGCACCACGCCGTCACGCCCGGCACCGGCTCCGTGCGCAGCGGATCCTCCGCGCATGCTTCGCTCGAAGAGGCGGCGCCCATGGCACTCGGACGCGACGTCGCCGCTTTTGGCGTTGGTCGCCCGGTGGGGAGGAACCGACGTGGCCGGCTGAAAGCGGCGCAAAACGGGGTGCCGGGACTGTTCGGTGCGCAGCGGTTCCGACGTGGGATGCTGTAGGGGAGGAGGTTTCTCAAGGTGGTGGTGGGTCCTGAGCGGTGCGGTTTTCGGTGGTCAACTAGACCCACAGCCAGGTCACGGTGAGCACAAGAAGAGCATCAGAAATACCCAGAAGTGGCCATTGTGGTCGACCTTCCGAAGTCAGACCTTTCAGCAGGTCATGTAAATCCCCCCAATAGTGGGAACAAAACGGGCATGGACAGTTGGTCAAATGTTGCAAGTTGTGAGTAGTGAGTCTCTCGGCGCAACTGGCGCCTGCAAAATTCCCGGAACAACGCGCCTGGGAATCCCCTGCAGGGTCATCCCCCTTTCCTTGACCCAGAGGTCTCTCTTCTGCGGTGCTTGACCCAAAGGTCTATCTTCCCCAATTTCGGAGACCCGGTTCGAAAACACCCAGACTTCAAAGACCCTTAAGAATGAATGGTTGACCTTGTGACCATCTTCTATAGATTATAATGAAACAATAGGCAGTGCGTTGTTCGAATCCGGGAATAGACATGTCCGTCTGTTCGCACCGTGCCCCCCTACCGTTCGATTCACCCTCAGTCCGCAAGGACGTCGGTCAGGGACGTCTCAAAACGACCCTCCGACAGCTGGGGTGATCCTAGATATCCCAAGAAGAAGCAAGTGCCGATGTTGGAAATACACGAAATCTATGGATCCACTGGCACCCCCTGAGAAGGTGATTGGGCACTCTTTTGTGCATTTGAAGGGTCCAGTCGTACCGAACCTGAGAAGGTACGTGGATCCATAGGGCTAGCTATTCCATAGGGCTAGCCAGCATGTTCCTGGGCAACCCATGCTCCTAAGGGGTTAGACTTCGACATATTTTAACATTGATTGAGGACCCCATAGTTCTCTATCATAGGATCTCTAGATTCAAACAAGGGAAAACACTGCCAGGAAAAGCATATAAAATTGAACTCGCATCAATTTATCTTCCCCACCATCTCTATTGGCCTGTGTCTCTTCCTTAACTTCCCCAGTCTTCCAGTCAGGAACACTTCCCCAGTCTTTCTTCCGTTTCCACCAAAACAAAACCTAACCTTTCGCCACAAAAAAACTAAACCAAAACACCCTGACATCAGCTTCGCCGAACGCCGAAAAACCGGAACCGCCGGGGGTTTCGGGCCGGGTGTCCCCAACGCGGCCCATCTTCCGCGGCAGCTTCAAGTGCCCAGGCGACCTCGACCGAGCGCGGTGGCAGAAACCGTTGCTTTCAAGCCGTCCCACAAACGCCGTGGTGTGTTTTAATGTGTACTTCATGTTGACCAATTTATAAATGGACCGTGAATAATACCATGATTTGTCAAACAATGCTGACAATTTTTGTTTACGGTCAACCTTTTTGTTTCAAAACTTCCTGGATGTCTGATTTGGCTGGAGCATTTGTCCTTTTAACATGTCGTATTTGAGCATTGCCATTTGTAAACTGAAATCAACCCACAAAGACTACCCCTCACAAGCAGGGCTCACAAGCAGCCCAAACCTTCAATTACTCCAGACCTCAAATAATACTAAACAAATCCTGGCTGGTTCTTTGGGTGGTGGCCTCTCTTTTCATTTTCTTTCATTTGCCTTTCATTCTTCATGTTCCTTTTGTTTCCATTTCTTTCGTGTTCTCATGTCCCTTCCATGTCCTTTCCTTTTACTTTCATTTCCCTTCTGGATTTCACAGACCCTTTTCTGGGTCTCCATTTGAGGCTGAGGGGGAGGGGACTATTTAGAGGCTGACATCAGGCCATGTCTCTGCTCAAATTCCTGTCCTCCCTTGAGTACTTTGCACTGAGTCCACTGGCGTGTCCAAAAAAGAGCATCAACTCCATTCAACTCCCCCCCAAAAAGAGCATCAAGGCTCGTCTTACATCTTATATACCCGATTTGAATGTGATCTGGGGTGTGTGTAAAAACATACCAACAAAAATAACACTGAAGACTGAAGAGTAACACTGTCCTTGTTGTCGAATGGGTCGCGGATCTTTGAATCCGCTCCTCCGTCGACCAATCGACCCTGGTTCAGCAGACGAAGAGCGACGTCGACTCGACCGATGTCGACGTGTAGGGATAGCGTTGAGAGAACGGAGAACGTCTGTCAGAACTGCAGGTTCTCCCGCATCAGAATCCAACATGTTGGGATTGAATGGTTGACAACTCTTCCAAGAAACACATAACAAGCGGCGGAGAGTGGTGAGTGGTGTTTTTCAGCCCTTGGATTTCAGGTGGCACAAAAGACGACAGCTTTTCCGGTCCAAGCTCAGTCCAAGGGCCCCGGTGCAGGTTCGGTTTTGCTGCAAACTCCATGGTAGATTGGAGAAGCAAGTGGACGGTCAACAGTATGGGGAGCACCTTTGGGGGGAAAGAATGCCTCCCAAAGTCACGCTCTGGAAGTTCATAGATTTGTATACCAGCATGACGTCATGAGGTGTACAGAATCCAGAATGTATAATGTTTTACAGCAAACCCCCACATGCTTGCTACGCAGTGAGCTGGCCATTTTTGAATATCTATAGAATATGTACATGCCCGTAGAATACATGCATCCCATTTAAAGATACAAATCTGCAAAAAGAAAGGGATACATCCGATGTCATGTGGAAAACTGGTACCGTTGTGGAGTTGATGTTCTTTTTCTTTGGTTTGGAACCATATTTTGCGGATTGACCTTGTTTGGGCCTTGTTTTGGCCAACCCAACGCCACCCATGAAAATAGAGACAATCCAAACCTGAACCCCTTCAACCTGAATCATCCTTGTTCGCGGTCGCCACTGGTCGCTCTGAGGTCGCCACCAAGCAGGCGATGCTGGAGAAGCCATGGTCAACTCGGGACTCGAAGTGAAATGGTTCTTACTTTGCTTCCTTGGGGTGATTGTTGATTCATGGTTGTTCAATGTTATATTTGTTGTTGGGGTGAAATGGTTGTTCTGTTAGGGGTGATCCTCTTTCGGGTGATGGACATGTTTGTTATGCTCTGCAAGGTAGAACAACATACAAAAAAAAAACCGTTTGGTTTATGGATAAGATCTTCAATAAACCAAACTGGAGGGTTCGAAACGAAACAACCTGAATCATTGTTCATGGCCATGGTCAAACTTTTCTTCTGCCTGACAATCATTCAGCTCCCAATTTCCAACGTTTCATGCGGTTTTATTTTGCAGTTTGAATTAAACTGCGAGATCAATGCATGTGCGGCGCGTCCCGTTTCATTGGTTGAGGATGCCAAACCAATCCTCCCAACCTTGTTTTAAGGAGGTCATTCTGTTGTTTTCTTGGTGCATTGTCATCTGGACTTGGACTCGTTGTTGCAACATGTCGGAGGAAAATGCATGTCCAATGTTTTCACCAAGTAACATTGGTAGGCCTGATGCATGCATTTCTGAGACGCCCTGCCCCCCCCATCCCCATGGCCACCTTGACCACTTCAGCGTGGATCCTCCACCCCGTTTCGGTGTTTGAAATGAATATCCTCTACCAGCAGTCACAAAGGGGTGCTTATATAATGGAGGTTAGGGGTGCCCATTATCCACTCACTTGGGTACTACACACCACCCCTTTGTGACTCCTGGTCAAGGATTCACCAGTCATGAAACGGCGATAGAAATGCGCCACCATGGAGGGTCCACGCGCCAGTCGTCCACTCACGTGAACCGGTTTTCATGCGTTTTTCTCACAAAGATCGGCTCCAAAAGCATGCGAGGGAAAAGCTCTTGGGTCCTTTCCCCACCATTTTCTTCTAAAATCTAAACCGGTGTCACGAAAAACCCAGCTGAACCACTCGACCTTCGGTCCATTGCAGGGCTGAAGTCCGCATCGGACGACTGTCAAGTGCAACTGGATCTAAACCCTTTATTTTGTCCCCCAAAGCCTTAAGCCCATATTCATCCATATTCCATGATTTGAATGTTTCTGGCTGAGCAACTCCAACATTGCTGTGCAAAGGACTGTCCAATGCTATTCATTACAAAACCGTGATTAACCGTTTCTCGACAGTTGTTCATGGTCTTGGAAGGTTTGTGACACCGACGCAGTGAAACAACTTCTCCTTGGCAGGGCGCATCCCACCAACGCCTCTTGCGGCACCAATTTTTGCACAGGTGTGAGCCGGCATTATTCGATTGTCGACCATCCTTCAATATCCTTCAGCACTCGCAGTGGATTGTTGATGATTGTTGGCTGACATGATAAGGTGCACAATCTTTGTGAAAAGCTGAGGCAAACCAGCAACGAACGTCAACATGTGGCGATGTTGCTGCTTGCTGGTGGGGTGTGACCTGCATGTAACCCATGATGTTCTCAGAAAGCTACCGTGGCCGCTGCAACTCCGCCAAAGGCTTGCCAATGAGATGACAGTGACTTCGCCGCCTTTACTGTGAAAGACTCGTTTTACGATTCGTTGACGATGGGACCGACATACGCAACAATCACCTGGCCTTGCCAGAAGCAGAAGATATAAGAAAATCATGATTTTGTGCCAAAACATGCCAAAACACGGCTCATGGGACTGATATATCATATACGTATGGGGTGGCTGAAATATGCTGAAATGGGGTCTTCTGGTACGTATAACACATGGCATCGTAGACATCGGTAGACGATGATTTCACTGAGTTCCATTAGTTGTGTCTGGGCAATGCTTCTCTTTCAAATCCTTTCCAAACCTACCGTAACATACAGGCCGTTGCTCCACCGATCAGTTGAGTGGCGGTCACGGCGGTTCGGACAGTGAAACGTCGCCCGTTTCGCCCTTTTCGCATGGTCCAAAACCGACTTCGAAACGGATGTTCGCCGCAGGGACGTGGTGCGAAGAACATGTTCACTCCAAACGTGGCTGAGACAAAGTGGCTGCATTAAAGGGAACCTGGCAGCTACATATGGTAGCATACATGTCTGAAGATCGCAGGCTAGGGCTTGTGCTTCGAAATGCCAAACACTAACCACTACAGGACAAAAGTTGTAGTTTGCCTGAAGCTTCCACCCTGGTAACCCCGTGCCCTGGAAAGTCATACAGACTGATCACTCACAGAAGGTCAACAAGGCTGACAACCCTCGGACCCTCCATAGCAGGGGGGCAGTCCCTACATAGCAGAAGGTCTGGACCCTCAAAACCCTATATTTGCTCACATGTAGTGGATTAAGTGGGGGGATATCTCTCCTATCATGGGAGATTTACAAAAGATCGGAAGAGCTCCACCTTTTTTGACTCATCTCTCGGCTAAAGTTGCCCTTCCTTTTGTCTCTTTAGACCCCTTTTTCCCACATGCTCTGATCACACTATCCCTGTGCCGACCTGGTTACGTTAGGCGCTGGGATCTGCCACTGGATCACAGCGATGATCGATCTGCTCCTGCTCCTTCGCCTAGGTTCAGGTTGCGATGGATGTCTTTCAACCTCGAGCAACTACATAGGTGGACAGAAGGCATCGGCGGAATGTGGTTGCTAGTGAAATGGTCCTGAGAACTCATATTGGCATCAGGGTGTGAAGTTTCTTACTTGTTTCGGTCAGGACCTGATTTAACTTCCATAGACGTCTGACCACATACATAGACCGTCTAGGGTCCTTTAAGGTCTGGCCGCCAGCAGGGGAATTGCCAAGTCAGCTGTGGGACTAAGTCGCATGAATGAAGTTGCCGGCCTGCGTGTGGTTATGACAGTGATGGCGGGACATTCTGGGTTGAGTTGTCAAGCAACACGGAACTACTCGAGGTGGAAAAGGAGGAGCTTCTCCACTAAACAAACCCAGTCGATTCAAGCTTTGGAAGAGAAAACCTGTTGCTCTTTGAGGTAAGTTCACAACACAAAGAACAAGCACACCGTTTCTCCCACATGTAGCGGGCCTACTTGAGCCAGCTCGCTTCAGAATCGCCTCCAGGTGAGCTGTAACGATATGGGCTTGGTTGGTTGGTGAACTCTTAGCGAGCTGCCATCTTTGCTGGAATAAGAGCTGAGCAAAACATATAGCAAAGCCCTTTGCAAAGGGTAAATGGTGATGGGTCTTTCTCCATGATTCTCTGAGGGATGGGCAAACACTGAACGATGACTCAACGGCCCGTGGCGGACACGTGGCACGGGACACGGCCGGCTTTGCACCCAAGGAGCATCCCATGGGATGGGAAGAGTTACTGACATGAATGGCCTCATGCATGTCAGGGGTTAATGTAACGTACCCAAAGGATGCATGTGCCAATTATGTTGGTCTTGTTGTTTGTTCTATTTTTTGGGTGGTGAATGTCAATGTTGTGACCCGCTTTATGGAGAGTTTGTAACGTACCTATTCCAGTCCCATAATGCCATAACCTGGGAAGCATCAGTGGATTAGATGGTCTGTTCGAATGAAGGAGGACGTGAAGGTTCAACAGCACCCCGCCTGTTGAACCTCTGAAAGAGTTCGGCACCCTGACAAGGAACTGCTTGCACTGGTTAGCTCCAAAAAAAAGGGGAAACACTGCAGGCACACAGTCCGCCATGACTTTTGGTAGCCTGCAACGCCTTAGCTACAAGTTCATGTGGAAATTGTCATCCATTGTCTGTGGAAGTTGATGTGGAGATGGATCTGCTCACTCCTGCACAAGGTCAAGACACTGAAGCGACCCCAAGAATATCTTAGCCCTGCCCAGAAGGCTTTGGACTACGAGGACTCCTCCGGACTCCGGGTGGAAGGAAACCGAAGTTAGATCAGTTCGGAACTGGGAGAGTTCTGTGTCATACGTCCTCCCCACCATCCCCACCATCCCCACCGCCTCATCCATCAAAGCCGTCCGCCGCCGCGGCCGGACCTTCTGTCGAAACCTGGCGGCTTCGTCCCAGCGCGCGGGTCGTCCCACCGCGCGAAACCCGTGACGATGAGTCTGGGTGGAACCGCGCCGTGTGAGGACACTCCGGCATGTGCTTGCAACATTCCGCACAACCAGGTGGGGGCAAGGAAGGGGAACAAAAACATATTCAGACTAGGAGCGTGGTTACGATACCCAAACACAGCCTGAAAATCGTGAGAATATATGTCACTAGGTGTCATGAATTTTGAGCCATGAGGTCCCTCACGGGTCCTGGAAGTACTGAGTTCTGATCTCATACAGCACTACACTGAAAAGGTTCCTAAACCATTTTTGAAGTCGGCACTAGAAGTCAGTATATGTCAGCATCAACATATACGTATATTTTATTTATATATATATACATATACTTAGTATATGTATTATATATCGAATCATGGAAGCTGACCAAGGGCCCTCTGGAAAAGGATGATTCTTCTTCCAGTGCTCGACTCCACGTCCACTCGTCGCTGCAGTGCGTCTCACGCCACGCGAGGCGACGGTCTCGGTCTCCCACGGCGAGGTGATGACCGTCTCCCAGGAGGGTGTAGAACTAAAAGGAACCCCCCCGGAGTGAAGGTAGCAAAGCTATGCAAAAAGGTGGTCGTGCACAGTCCACTGGGTGGAGCCATGTGCAAATGGTTTGGACATGGAATCGGTATGACTGGTAAAAAGCACAAGATGCATATATATATATAGAAGCATGCTTAGAATAGAAACCGGTGCACCAATCATCCCTCTACGACTTCGCCACGGCAAACAGTGATCCTCCTCGGTCCACCCCAGAACAATCGGGCGCCTAAGGCGCGTCCCACTGGGTGTGGCAGCCAGTCGATTCCAGTGGCGTTGGAGTTGTAAACGCCGACGCCTTGGGGAGCACCGGTGTTTTTTGTTTGTCCCACCTCGTGTGCGTGTGCATGTGAAAACCGGAAACTGCAGGAAGCAAACAGAATCAAATTCAACTGGAGGGGAGCAGCTGCTGACGACGTCCGAATCCCCACTGGGACTTCAACGAACACAGGTCCGGTCAAGGGGAGGACAGTAGAAGGGAAGGCTCACAGCAGCTAGGATGACTTAAGATGTGTTTGTCAGAGGGCAATGAGTGAATCTTCCAGTCACTTGGAAGTCCTTCTCACCTCCGACTGCCTCCATGCATGGGTACAGTTCCAAGACGATTTGGAAGGGTCATAGATCCACCTTCCATCCTATAATCACATGGATGCAGATGGGGCGTGCCGGCGCCGAACTGGGCGCAAAAAACGTGCTTTCTTTCCCCTACCTAGTGCCCTAGCTCGACCCTTCCAGCTCAGACCCAGAGGCCATTCCATCAGGACTCGGTTCATCTGGGTAGACGAAGAGCTGCGACACACCAATCTGCCGGCCGCGGTGGGTCGACGGGTCGACTGGGATGGGGATGGGCGCCGATGGGTCGACGATGGGGCCGGCCGCGCCACTGCAGGACTGGAACCTCTTAGTGTTGTGTTCGTTTGGCACTTCCATGGAACGCGGAGCGCGGGGGTCAAAGCTTTTAATCCAATGGCGGGCCACTATTCTGCCTTGACTTGTCTATGTTTCATGGTGCCAGGATTCCTTGGTTGAGGCCCTTTTTTGCGCGTCACCCAGCGTGACAAAGAGAAATCGGGGTACTGTGGTCCAAATTAGCCCGCCACCCTACGAACTAACGAAAGTCCTTGTTGTCTATAATCAGGGGGGTTCCACTTCCATGTTCGTGGAAATCCGAGGATGCCTTTTGAGAACAAACCATCTTCTGAGGATCTGCCATGAAGATCGCTCTGGGAGCGAACCAATTCCGCAATGTTTCGTATACCTTTGCCACGCAAGCCCTGAAGCTTAGCCGGAAAAGAATCGAACAGATTAAAAAACAAAAAGCAAACAGCTAGAAAAGAGCTTGGAACGGATTCTTTCCGGACTCTGCGCAAAATAGACACCCTCCAAACGGTTGTTCACGTCCAAGTTGCTCCAGTTCTTTCTGCTTCTCCAGCATGAAGGCCCTCACGTTCGAGGCATAAAGCTCCGGATCTGCCTGGACTTCAAACGCAAAACGTCGACTCCGAGACCGACCGGTGAGGGTATTGAATGCAGGGTCCCACATGAAATGGATGCCGTTCCTGGCCACGGATGGCTTTAGAAGTCTTCCCTTTTTCTGAAGTAGATGCAGTAGGAGTAGGAGTAGGAGTCGATGTCTCATGAAGTATATATCTCAGTTCTAGGAATTCATCCCGGTTCCCAGGCGAAGCTTCATCTAAAAGGCTCCGCTGGGAAGGAAGGACCCTGCAGCAGATGGCTTCAATGGGCTTGGCTGCTAGCACCTCTTGGACGTCCAGGTATGTTACATGCCTATCACATTTAAAACAATGTATGAAGGCAATCCAACATTTGTTGTGACCCATTTCCCATCATTTCCCACTTCCCACTAACTTTAAGTGGACTTCTGATGTTCTGTGCAGGAATTAATGTGGGAAAGCTCCCTGCACCCCATGTCTTTACAGACTTGCGGCACATTTCATGGGCATTGGCATTTTGCGGAACGATCTTCCACACGTCGACCGACACGTTTCTCACCGTGTCAATTCCTCACCGTGCCGGTCGAACATTGCGACCGGACCGTCAGCGACCGGACCGGACCGCGTGACCTCGGTCGGATCACGACTCCGTTGGTGAGAGACCTCAGTCCTGGGACCCAACAAGTCGACGATGCCTTCGTTGCGAACGCCTGGGGTCCGTCATGCCGCTGGTCAAACGCCATGCCTTCTCTTCCATCGATGGGTGGTAAGGCCTGGCGTTTTGAGGAGGCCGTCAAAATGTTGCGGATGATGCACAGCAGGAACCCAGGATCATTATCAACCCATCGCCCCCTACGCAAATACAATCTGAAGTACTATGTGAAGTCAATGTGGCAACCAGCACGGATCATAACATGGAACTTTCAGCGTTGCTTTGGGACATGTTGTTTCACTCTGGCAGTTCAGTGACTTAGAGATTGCATGTGCAGGGGGTGCTGCAAACCCACGGTGCGGTGCTCGTAAATCAGCTGCTTGTTTGGCTGCAAACTGCTGCCGCAAACTGTGGTAGATGCTGAGGGAACGGGTTCGCCCCTCACGACCCAACGCAAACAGCAAACAGGGGCCCTTTGGAAATAGAATTCCAACGCTGTCTGGCACGCCCGTCGTTCTTTTCCCTTGCCTGGTGTCTCAAATTTTTCATACCACTGTGCAAGAAGTCATGCAACTGAAATCAACAGGCCTCTCCAGATGTCCACCTTACCACAACGTCGTTTCGATACACATTCTCTCTCTCTCTCACTCTGTCTCTGGTCTCTCGCTCTCATGTCTCTGTCTCGGCCCCAAGCACCGCCGAGCTGCTCGCACACCAAAACGGTGCAGCTGTGAAAGAGGTTCGCCCAGAAGTTCATGGCCTTGGTCTCCGGGTGCGGTGACCGTATTACACAGGTCGGCTCCTTCCTTGTGAGAGGTTCAGTGACCTTAAGATCCTACCAGAAAACCAATGGGATAGTCTATAGGGTCCTGGAAAACCTCTGCTGGTTGCTTTTCAGCATGTTGAGACCCCAAAAATGGACCACCCAGCGCATGGGAATGGCAGTATGGCACCACGGTTCGGCCGATCCAGCCGGATGCAGCATGGCGCAGCAACCCGCCTGTTTACGCCAATGCCCATGAGTTCATTCCTTGACCATCCATGCATGGAAAATGGGTGGCCCTTCTTGGCGGATTTGGAGGCCCGTCCCCTGGATGTCATGACTCCTTTTTCCTGGTGCAAGGAACATCTCTACATCAAAATACTGTTGTAGTATTAGCTTTAATTGTAGTATTAGCTGAAATAACATGCCCAAAGGTAACGAAGTGTACAACCAGCGCGGCTGCCCTCATGGAAAATGAACAGAGGCCCTCAATGCAAACTTGTTGGCTCAAATGAGAAGTGCATGTTTGGATTCCATGGACGGACTTGCGGCAAATCTTTGCATGAGCACCGCCCTCCTTACAATACATCGTCATTCCAGGATCCGCTCTGAACTCTTTGTCAGCATCCACCGAATTCCTCTGCAATGCGCAAACTTGCATGCACCATCTTGCTTTCAGAAGCGGCAACCATTGCAACAAGCTGGGAACCGACTTGACCGGGTCTTGTATCCATCCATGCGATGTCTGGCAGAGTCCCTTGATGAGCGTCCAGGGTATCACGGTTGCTCCACACATGTTCCATCAGAGTTTCAGCATCTTCGTCCAAAAGGTGCCTGTTTCAGGCCCACTGGCGCCTGTTTCGGCCCCGAGTCGATGAACCACGCGTGGGCCTACTTAAGTCCCGAGACCCACTGTTGGTCTGGTAAATGGACTGCCCAAACACCCAAGACCACCAGTCATGTAGGCCATAGAAATGCACCACCATCGGTCCTTTGGGTTGTATATTCTTGTGGCCTCTTAACCGCTCTTGCTTGGCGTTGGCTGGACAAACCACCACCACGTACAAGCATTTCATGTTACATGTTATACCCCCTCTTCAGCCATATGTCACGTAATCGCTGTTTATTTACACTCATGCCAACCTTCATGACCGACATCTTCATGAGTACATGTCGGAACTCAGAGACTTGACATCAGACCCTGGGTACGTTCAGTACCTTCTCAGAAGGTGGGACTGGGGTGGGTGCCAGGAGGGTCCAGGTGCCTTCTGAGAAGGTACGACTGGATCCCTAGGGAGATGACGTAACCCTTTTCCGGGCTCCGGTGACGTCCCATCTCACCGGTCGAGCGGTTCGGCGGTTCGAAGGGGCGGGAACTGGAATCGAAACGAACGTCCGAACACCCTTCGACCTATGAGTACACCTGGGGCCTCTGGGACACCACGGAAGAGTGGAAGATTGGATATCATGAACGAAAGTTTTGGCTTCTCTCCAGCTGGGCGGAGGCAACCTCGAACCCCCCAGCTGAGTGACGGACTAGGGCCTAGGGAAACCAACATGTGGCGAACCCCAAAACGGCCCGCCGGCTCGTCCGACATGACGAGGTCTGAAGCCCAAGGGCTTGGGCGTTAAAGGAGTTTTTGGCCCAAAGGTCAACTCATCGTGGAAAAATGGTCCCTGTACCAGGACCTTCCAAAAGGTGTCCGTAAATAGCCTCTTACAGGCTTAGGAGGTGTCCAAAAACCACCTGTTGGAAGGTCCTGGTGGATGGCGAAAGGCCTGTACGTACAAACAGGGGATTGTCCACGAAATCGTGTTTGTTGGAGGGAGGCAAAATCCGATATTCATCAAGGATTTTGAAGCAGCCAGAACATAGCGAGAAAACACCTGTGAACTGATTCGGCCGTCGAATCCATATAGAACTTGCAGCAGCTTTCACATTGTGATGGTGGCATCCTATTCACCAGTCTTACACTCGGAACCTGAAAATGGACCTTTGGAAGAATGTTTTCCTCTACAAACCAGTACTTTTCAGGTTCCATGTGGGTCTCTTCCAGTCTTATGGCGCTTTCCCAGCCCACGGAATGTGTCCTCTCATATCATTTCAAAACCGATAGACGACCACATCTTGCACATCCGGATGCACATGACAATGAGGCTTTCACTCTTGCCATCGGTTTGGGGTGCGGTGCAGAAGCTTCCTCTGGACAACCCGATGCAACCGAATGCAACCCCTGCAAGGGAGACCAGTTTAACGAGTACATATATAAGAACGACTTTCACTGCATGACTCTGCACGCCCGCTCTCCGATCACTTTTGGTACACTTCCTCCGATCATCGTCTCTTCCAGGCAGCCGATATGGTGGTTCACGGGTGTTTCACGGATGTTTCACGGGTGAATGACGGGTGAATGATGGGTGCATCACGGTAAACACCCAGTTTTCTAGTAAACTTGTCTCTAATCAAACGATTTCTTGAACAATATTGGCTAGAAGTATAGAGTTTTTTACTCCACGATCACTCCTAGTGTAAAGTACGATCTTTAAAAGTAAAGTCCATGCATGTGAATGGATTTGTTATGAACAAGTTTAACGAGTACTTTGGTTCATAGGGAACCTTCAGGCAACTGGGTCAACAAACCAGTGGATGCGCGTGCCATCGCAACATTCCTCCACCTTCCCGACAGTCTTTGGGATTGTGAAGGGGAAGCTGCATTCGAGCTGCAGGTTTGCTGCATGTCTTGGCATGCATGACTTATTAAATAAGGCGACAAACATGGTTGGTTGCACATCAAGATCTTATCCATTTGGAGCCTGTCCTGACAATAGGGACCTCCAAAACATGGTCATCCTGAATAAAACATGTCTTTTGTGGGGGTAGTACGTGTAGTCCTCCCCAAAACACTTGGGAGGGTGATACATATATATAATATATACACGCACATATATTATATAACACATATATGGATACATTCATAATTGTATATATATATATAACAATAACATGCAACATGTATGTCACCAAGGCGAGTGAACTCCCACTTCTCTCTCCACTGTGTTTTTTCACTCCAAGTGGCCCATTCCCCGTCGGTGTACTCCACACGCTCACCCTGGTGCTCTGCATGAAAGACGATGAAACGGAGACGTCGACGGCACGATGCCTGAACTTTTGTGGATCCCAGGCACGAACTTTGACCTATACATGGGCCAACCCCTATTGTAGACTCTTAATGAATAGACACCGAGCATATGAAGACCACTCCATGTATTAAATTATGACACGTTTTACCTATTACATTGACCCCTGAAACCATCCCAATGTAGTCCATGCATGGCAGCAAACATGCCATACATGGAGTCTGGGGAAGGAAATGGTGGCCCGTTCCGTTCCGGGACTCTTCATGACGTCCCTCACGTGTCAGAGGGCCTCTCCAAGAGGTGTCTCGTGCCGACTCCTCTCCCTTCCAGTGATCGCAGAACCCTTCGAACCCAACCCTTCGAATGCGGGTTCCCCACAAATCGCTTCATGCATTATGCAATCTAAACATATAAATTATACAATTCTTAGTATTTCTACGAGGATCTATATATATATATATATATGTGTGTAATTATGCATGAATGGTGGTCTTTTACCTTTTGTGGTGAATGTTGGTCACATTTGCAGTCGCATTTGGAGGCCCCGGTTCCTCCAACCACCGCTGACGTCAGCTTACCACCGGACGGTGCCAGCTGAGGCCCAAGACGTCATCAGTCATCAGGAATTCCTTGTCGGGAGCGAAGGCATACGCGAGTATGCCTAACTGCCACCAGCCAGTTTGGGTGGTTTGTGAGATGGACAATGGATGAATAGAGGGTTCTATCAACCACCCGAAACTGAACTGCCCCCGGTTTTGGATGACCATTTTCCGACCCAATCAGGTGCCCTTCACACTTCCATGAGAGTCTTGAGGGCTGTAAGAATCCTTGGAACCATGTAGAGTAGTAGCCCAAAAGCACTACACCCATTGTAGGGTGGTTATAAGTTATTAGATTGAAAATGCATCTTCAGTGAAGTCTATACACCACCCTTTGGGTGGTGCTTGTGGTTTTCAATATTAGTAAAAATCATACTGTCGATACACCCCACCAAGTGGAGCGGCAGCGTAGATGGAATATGGCCATCTCTCCAAGCCAGACATGAAAGACGCAAAACATACATGTTCCCAGGCTGGTTGGAGATGTACACTCGCGGTGGCCCATGGATGACACCACCCTCTTATTTCGGCTCACTGAGAAACACGAGTGGAGATGCAAATGTGAAACATAGACTTACCGGACCCAGTGGCCCGCTTCAGGGTCCTCAGCATGTTGCATGTTCATGTTCACCCCGCCGTTTTCGCGACGTGCAAAACCTCTTATGTGTTGTAGTGCGCACTCTTCCCAACGTTATCGTCCTTTTCTGTGAACCTTATCGTTCCTGAGGGTTCCAGATATTATCTGTTCCAGCCCATGTCGAGCCGCCGAAACCCGGCATTCTTGGTCGCCAAAACTAAAAAAAAAGCTATGAATCACCCACCCCAGCAGCAAGATTCCCCGTCTCTGAACGAGTCTGTGAACACCGTGTGCTTTTTCACAGGACATTGTTAATATTTGTTGTTAAACCCTGCTGCCCCTCAAGAAGACGCACACAAACGCACGTCCACGTCCTCGCTCAGCCAGCAGGTTCCAGCCAAGCGTCTGTGAAAGCAGGATCCCAGGAACCGCTATACCTTGTTCGCGGGCGCCCACGTGAGCGAACACGTCCAAAGGCCCGTCGGTTGGGACAGCTAGCTTTTGCTCTAAGGCAGGACCAGGCAACTATCATAAAATATGGTGGTACACAACTGTCAGTTCATTCTGAACTTCACAAGCAGCAACAAGAAATCCAATTCAATGTCAATGGCTCTTGATTGGGATGGGTGGAGGAAACCAAGCCAAGGGTCCGGGAAACAGCATCTGCTGACCACAGGGGTGGCTAGCAAACGGTGGGGTAGATGACGGAGACAGGAGCCACAGCTGGCATCTAGATGGGGACAAACCCAACTCTCTTGAAGTGTAAAAACTGCATGGCAGGACATCTTCCTACCCTTCAAAACCCAGTAACATGCGTGAAAAGCAATTGCGCAGAATGGGCCAAAGGCGTGCAGTTGGACGCGCCTCTCAACTGGAGTGCATGTGAAAGTTGTCGAAACAGGAACTTCTATACAAATGATCTAAAGCATCTTGTTACTAGTAGCTTCTTGCGACTAGGAGCGATGCACCTCTGTTACTAATAAATAGCGATGCCCTTGTTGCTGCTAGGGGTGTCACAAATACCCAAATGACCACACAACCAACGATCAATTCCGACCACATCCCTCGGCACTGCTCTTGGATTCCTCACTGGTGGCCGAAAAGGAGGACGATCCCGTAGCCAAAAACCATTAAACGACAGGTTGACCCAGTTTTGAAGCCTAAACGTTTTTGTGCAAATTGATGTCAATTGCTGCGCAAGGCTATCCGGCTATCCAAGAAGCGAAAACCGGTCGTGGGCAACGTGCCGCGCCATGTCGACGACCAAACCAGTTCGACCGATCACGTGGGCATCTGATCACCCATCTCCGTGACGGATCTGGGATAGAAAATCTGCTCGTGGCGCATGGCTATGGTCTACATGAAAACCACCAACAAAAACCACAAGTCATGGCCATCTTCCCATGTGGCCCTTATTCGGAATGGGCATGACATGACAAAACCCTGCAACATACCCACCGTCCAACGTCCAGAACGTCCATTCCCATCGGGGGCCGCTGAAAACAACACCGGTCGCCTGGAACGGAGCGTTGGGTGGGTTTGTAGGCCCCCTCCAACGGGGCACCCGTGGATGTGAACAGAACACCCAACTCCAAGCTCCATGGATACGGACATGAAACCATGAAACTCCTGGATGATTGATCATTCCCAAAAAAGGGATCCAAGTACTTTCTACTCAGGTACGGTGATGTGTTCGACACTGCGACATGTAATTAGGTGCCAGTCAGTGTCGGGTCCAGTCGTACCGAACCTCACCAACAAAACCCTAGCTATAGGGATTGCTCAAACGGATCGCCAAGGTGCTTCAAGAGCACTGGGCGCCTCAGGTTCTGGCTGCTGAACGCACCGAAACTCATTGTTGTTGTTGCTGGTGTTGCTGTTGCTGTTGCTGTTGCTGTTGTTGTTGTTGTCGTTGTCGTTGTCGTTGTCGTTGTGGTTGTGGTTGTTGTTGTTGTTGTCGTTGTTGTTGTTGTTGTTGTTGTTCTTCGTCCTCCGAGCGTCCCGGGGGGGATGTTCAGACGTGCTTTCGCCGTTCTTCGATGGACCCGCAAAAGGACGAACTCCGACGACAACCGTGGCTATGCCAGTTCGGTACCCCAGGAAGAACGGGTCCATGACCCAGGTCACTGGCTACCTCTCTTGGGAAGGAGGGCGTCCTCCACCTGGTGGGATTTGGTGGCTAGAGGCAAGCCGTCCGTTCCTTCAGCTGACTGCCGGAAGTGAGGTGAGATGGAGTGAGAGGAGTGCTCAGTGGAAGGCACCAACTTCTCCAAGAAGAGGAGCACGGGAAATCAGTGGAAGGCCCATCAACTACGCAAAGAAAACGACTGCTACACGTGGGATGGCCATCCTGACAGGAAAGGATGACCAACCATGATGGGACAAAGCAGTGGTCATCCCGTCATGGCGGGGCCCGGTCTTTCTATGGCATGGCTCAGAAACTACACCCAAACACTCCATGTATGGGATATGCCTACTTTGACCCCGCAAGCCACCCCAATACATGGAGTGTCTGTGACAACATGGCCTACAACCGAGAAACACAAACAAGTTCCGCCAAGCAGCACTGGAGCGCCTGTGATAAAGGCTCCTGCAACACGAGCCGCACTTCACAGTTGTGAAGCATTATCGCATTAATACCCAGACCTATATATACATATACATATCATTACATATCTATCATTATCTATCCATATATAAGTTACATTATGAAACATTTATCATGGTCCCTGCTATAGATCATAGACCCCCTTATCTCAACACACCCAGGAATGATGGATATTATTCCAGACCTGTTCCAACATCGAAAACGGAAAACCAGCATAGAGCCCTCTGATTCCATGTGGAATAGCCACATCACATCAAAATCACTCTGTGCAAAATTCTGAGCACAGCCACAACTCAAAAGCTCATTACGCTCAAGACTTCCCAAGGCTCCAATTCTCATCAGCTATATTATATGCATAAGTTATTCTGGGGCATCTTGATGCTATAAATTTCCAGATGGAGAAATACACACATGTATACCCGCTATTTGAGATATGTTGAACCTATGCTTGAGTTTAATTACAGTTTCAAACACACATAATAAATAGATTATATATATATATGTCAGAACATTTCAGATGTGACATGACCCTCTGGAACAACTATTCAAGGTAGAAACCATAATTGTATGACCTTAATGTAGGCAACTATTCCAGGATATTCCACGAGTTTCTCTGATATTTTTCACGTGCGCGTCACATCGACGTTTCTCATCTCGTTGGCCAGGCTGATCCTGCTCGCAGTCGACTGAATCACTGGGACCCAAACACTCCATTGCATTTTTACATTGACCCCGTTTCATCCTTTTCAACATGTCAACCACCCCTTTTCATATGCAAATATGCCAATCCCATCAGTTGTGTCTGGGTCATTCGTTGCCTTAAACAAGTTACGACTCTTTGCGATTGCGATTGCGATTGCGACCGGCCTAGGAGGCTCGGATCCCAGCGAAGACCCACGAGTTCCAAGGCCTGGTTCCTTACTCTTCATGGCTGGATCCACTAGAACCTCTACCCAGCTGGTGGATTTTCTGCAGGTATGAACGGAACCAGCACGATGTTGGTCAGAAGCCGTCCAAAAGTTCGCTCGACCATCCCCTCGTGCCGCTGGGCCTTGCTTGAAGGGATAGAGTGATTGGCCATTCGAGGTGGTGCCCTGACCAGGGAGCGTGGTTGCACAAACTCAAAGTATAGGTGTGGCCGCCGTGGCCTTGGAGGAAAAACGATGGGGTCCGTTTTGCATGTTTGTCTTAGGTATTGCAAGGGTATCCTGGTCCCAGTTCACAAATGTTCACTATGAACAAAGAAGGTTGATTGGCACAATCCAGCACAACTTATGGAAAGCCCTTCTGTTGGGATCCTGAGTGGGATCGCGCACTTCTTGTCCATGGCGTATCCCATGCGGGTACCCCAAAGACTTGCATCATTATCACCATGTTTCCCAGGTCAGCCACCAACCACCACCTCCAGCTGACATGGTTGACACACGTTGACACCAACAACATCCAACAACCACCTCCTTGGGCTCCTGGCCCACAGGCGCCCCGCAGGGTTAATCCCTATCACGGGCGGCGTGGGATCGGACTGTAGCTTGTTCTTTCGTGCGGTGCTGCTTGTCTTTGCAAATCCAGGACCTGGAACCATCCACGATTCCACCACCTCCACGATTCAGATGAGACCCAGGACTGTGCGTCTTTTGGCGGGTCTTGGCCGCACCGGGTCGCGTGCCGCCGCTTTCGACAGCGACCGCCCGCCTCCGGGAAGATCACTAAGGGCCGCTCGCCCACCTTCCACGAGTTCACCTTGGACGGGACAGGACAGCGGTCCCAAGCTTGGGCCCCACAACGTGGCCGAAGCGAAGCTGGAGGTGGTATACGGGTGTCTGGAGGGTGTCGGGGTGCCCATCACTCAGGAGGGTAGGGGAACTACACAACTACACACCTTTGGAACTGGCTAGAGATGGCTGGAGTTGGTTTGCTCTTTTTGTGCTGCTCGAACGGCAGTGTTGGAATGTCTTTTTCATCTTTTTCATGACCCGGGCCTAACTTGAGCCTTCAGTCCTTGGTCGTTGTTATGCTCGTGGTTATTTATACACACGGTACCGTTCTCCTTCCACGTCTTGTCCACCAAAAAGGTCGATGTGAAACAACCCTTTCCCATGGGTTCGTATAGCGAGTCTTCGTAGCGACCTGAAGCGACTTGCCGCTAGCGACGGCACGCCGTGATGACCTGCCACTCGGGACTGGGGGGGTTTGGAAGATCAACTTGGGATTGGTAGTCAGATAAACAGGTCCAGTGATGTAGACTTGATTCAATTCATAATACTCCCCCCCATTTGAATTGGAAATCCTCGTGATATGCGGGGTTTATTGTTAATCAACAGTCTACATTTGCCCACCTGTATATGTTCAGAATGCGGACCCTCACTCATCCTCCAAAGGGTGGTCACAAGGGGCCCAGGCCGACCCCTGTGAACAAGGATTGCCCCCTTCAGTTTCTTGTATCTCATGGGGTTACCCGGGCGAAGATATGTCACATCTCGCACCTGGCCTCAAGTGGATCCAAGTGGGGCCATCTCGGGTAGCACATCTAGACTCTAGAAAAACAGGCTGGAAATTCGGTGAAAGGACTCTCGAGCAGCACCTTGCTTGAGGATTACCTATACCGCCAACCTTTTGGAGGATCCAACGTTTGTGTAAGATTAGGGCCAGTGGACAGATGTTGGTCTACGCAGTGCATATTATTAGGGCCAGCATGGGTGAGCATGTGCTGCACCGATGACGTCGAAAAAAAAAGAAAGCTCGACAGAAAGGCCATCGGAAGGATAGCCGTCTCGATAGATGAGCAGGAAGTGATGAAGGAGAACGTGAGAAGGAATTCCTCCGAAGTGGGTGCACACCACACTACAAGGCAAGCCCTCCTAGGGTCCAGGAAGACGATGGGAACCTCCACAAAGAGGGGGTGAACATGGGAGTTCCTCCACTTCCCTACAAAAGGGCCACCTCCCCCAGCCATCGAGATTCTTTATATGGCGTGGACATGCGTGGACGAGGAATTCTGTTCTCGGACAAGGTGGCACAGAACAAACCAAAGGTGACATGAACAACAACATGGAAACTTTATGGAAACGTTCTAAAGGTTCTATATTGATCAGGTTGAACCTCTAAGACAAGTTGTGATTCTGGTAGGTGCCCTGCACAAGAAAATACATTCGTAAAACCATAACCCATCAAACCATGTTTAAAGAACATGCTGAACATTATCGCCTCAAACATCTCAGTTTCTTTGTCTGAAACCCCTTCTCGGCCGCCCCACGTGCTTTTGGATCGCCTCCAGGGCCGCGCCCCTGGAGCCTTTTTGCCCGCGATCCACCTGAGGTTGGGGGCAACATGAGATATGAGATTGATGGTTCGATGTGTTGCTATTGGGGCTCCCATCAGATGTATACACTTTGGGTCTATCCTATTACCTGGGCCTCAGTGGATGATGATGGTTCAGTTGCAGGCCTTGTTCAAAAATAGTGATTAGCTTGTTTACTGAATGTTACAGGTAATAGGACAAACCTATATAATATACACTGGCCAAATGACCGATTTGTCGTTCAAGGGGCGGAGCGGTCTAGGGCACGAAGTCTTCCGAAGAGTGACCTAGTGCGACGGGCTTTAGGGCGGCAGGGGTAACATGGTCCCATGTGAGCCACCCACAAGAACTCCTCTCTCATGCACCGAGGATCCCTCAAAGAGGAGATCAGAGCCCAGACTTGGACAGTGACAGAGGGTTTTCTCTCCGTTTTTCTGGACGGGTGGTCAGTATAGGGAATGAGCCCTACTGATAGAGACTCCAAGATGGACCCAGCCGCCAGCCCGCGTTTGAAGTCGCACCAGTCAGCTCAAACATCTCGAACACTGGAGCTCATTGAACCGAAGGTTCTTCGACCATTTCCATTTCCGTCAGGAGGCCTCTTGGGGAGGAAGCAAAAATGATTGAACATGGATCCAAATGCATTCGAGTCAAGTGAAAGCGAGTCGCTACTTAAGACTTTTGATCTGAGATGGTTGGTGCATCATGGATATCATGGCGTAGCTTCTTGTGTACAAATCACGCATGGAGTTGGGTCCTGATTGGCAGGGTGGCTACAGCACCACAACTGGTCAGACTTCTGGTCCGGTTGGTTGGCGGGCTACAGCACCTTCTGGATTATCCACCGGAGAGGTATGTCCCAATGTATACGTGTGTCTCAACTTCTTCCGCTGCGCGGAGAGAACTCCGATCGCAGCAATTCGCCAGGGCGTTGCCATCTATGATGTTCATATTCCTTGCCTTATGGCTGACCTGTTAGGAGATGTTAGGAGTATTGATGTTCAAATATATGATGATGTTCTATCCAAGTGTTGTCTCCTGCCCGGTGGGGACTGAGTCCGGTGGACCCGCAGCGACGTCGTTGCATGAGACATGTGGAGACTGTGTTCATCTGTGGTCCATCCATCCCAGCCGCAAACTCCTTGATGAAACCTCCTTTTCACCATGCTACCTCCCCTTTTCGGGTCATGCGTCGTCATGCGTCTGTCCGACCTGAACCGTCCGTGACCAAACAAGATCAAACGACGCGTCACCCGTCTCAGACGCTCGCTCGCCCACTCCTCACAGCTGAGAGGCCCAAATGTATTCGAGGTCTTCGCCCAAGGAGCCGAACAACGGCCAGCTCTTCACCGAGGACTGGACCGACGGAAGGACACGAGCGCACGAGCGGCGTTGGAACAGGGAGTGTGGGGCGAAAACGAGCGAGGGAGACGATCGTGACTGGTCTGGAAGGAGCGATGCTAAGCGATCAAATGGTCAGAAGGCAAAAGAAGGTTTATAAGCGATCATAGCACCATGCAGTTTGGGCACCAAAAAATGGAAAACACATAGTCAGGGGTGCTAGGCAAATGTGTGTTTCTCCCAAGGGCTCCAACTACCTCCTGAGGTTTCGGTGGTCAGGGCGGATTTTTGGAGGTCTAACATGGTCTAACCACCTTCTGAGGACGTTGGAACATGTTGGAGCCCTAGGGTTAAACAAAAAAGGAACAAGCGATCATAGTTAGCATATTCATATTAGCATCATATATTAGTAGATCATGCATACATAGCACGCAAGGCCGCGGCGTCTGATTGCAACTCACCATGCTCTGCTGCCTGCCCGAAGCTTAGAATAGCTAGCACTGCATCGTGCAGGTATCTGCGTCAATAGGCTGTCTCACTCAGTTTTCCTGGAAAATCCATTAGTTCGAAACTATTTTCCCCCAAAATGCTGTGCCACATATGGGAACCTCTGCAGCAGTTCAGAAAATTTGCGTCTCACTCAGAACACATCTGTCTCACTCCCCCCCGGCCGAGTGTGAGATGTCAAGAGTCAGGTGAAGGGCTCCCAGCAACTCACATGTACCCTCCTCTTAAATCATCTAAAGGCCTTAAGCCTTATAGCTTAAGTTGGAAAAAGAACAACCTCCTCTACATACAAAACACGTGCAGTATATATATATATATATGTGTGTGTGTGTCCAAATGTTCGAGATGGTTTGTGTCCAGCCCCTCCGCTCACGCCAAGGAGTCCCGAAGGCATGTTCTTTTCAGTCTTTTCGGAGGTTCGATGGCACTGGCACCATGCCGATGCCCTTTGCCGAACTATGGGAGTCCATAGAAACCACCGAACTTGGGAGATGGTGCCACACCTATTCTTAAACCTCTGTAGGTGGAAGGGGGCGGTTGGAAGGAGGCATCAAGAACGTGGTTCCCCCGGCCTTGGACATGGGTGATCGGGTCCTGACGGTCAATCACGTGGACCGAGTTCAGAGGACGTGGGCGCGAAACGAAGGTTCCGCGCCATCGAAAGGAACTTGGGCAGCTTCAGGACCAACGGCAGGATCAAGGCCTCCAGGTGAGTGCGGTCGGGAAGGGCCGTGGAGATGGGCATGCTGGGGCCAGGCCGCCCTCCACTCGGACAAGACGTGCTAGCAGTTGGCAGATGTTTTTGTTGGGGAGGTTTGATTGGATGGGTCACAAGAAGTTCCATCCTCTACTTGAGGTTTCCCCTATCCTCTCAGCCCGGATGAGACGTCACCGGGTTTCGCGTCGAAAACACATGGGTCCTTTGAGTGAGAACAGGGAGAGTTCCAGGTCAATATTCTCTCCAAAAACGGCATCGAGTCACACCACTTGGTCAACAAAAACCATGTTTTCTGTCACAGATTGACCTATATAGGAAACCTTTAGAGCCGGTTCGGAGTGTCACAGTGACTGCCTGTGATTAAAGTGACACGACCTAGAGAGTGCTGGGAGTTGTTCTACGAGCATGCAGCATATATGATTCCTTGCAGGGTCCCGGGTTTGGATTCTAATTCTGTGTTTAAGTATATGCATCCTGACACATACTTGTCACATCGTCATCCATCGTCCCCCATACCTATCCTGATTCTACACACCCTGTTTCTCTGCAGGGCTTGCTGCCAAGGCGCATCAAGGTAACTCACATGATTGGCCACCAGCAAGGGCGTTAACCTGCCAGAGCGAATACGTCACCCAGAGGTGCCGTTCAGAGGCTCAGTCCAGGGCAACCTGATGAGCTTGGATCGCACTACCGAGTGGCAGCTCTTCCCTGTAGAAGGAGATGGTCACCCACAGGGGAGCTACACCAGTCGACCGGTTCGTACCTCAGAAAATGGGTATATGTTCGTTGTTCGGGTCACATGTCCCATGATCCGGACACAGAGGGTCCAGGCATATGAAAAACGAAATGGAAGCCCAAAACCACTCCCCCAAGGAGTGTAGTGCAAATTAAGACACCCAAGGACAGTCCCCCACCACCCCGCTCCATCCGCGTCGCATGAGAACGGCGTCGCCGTCGAGAGGTCCCAACTGGCCACCCTGGTCGTGGAGGACCTCGAGGACCGCGACGCGAAGCTGAGAAGGGCGCCAAAGCTCTGCGAGCGGATGGTCAGGTAGGGCTGGTGGGTTCTTTTTGCGCTTTGCAGACTCGAACCAGGATGTAGAGCTGGTGGGGTGGAGGGATGTGGAGGGTGGGGCCATTTTGAGGGTTAAAACATGGCGGTAGGGACTAATCAAAGAGGGAGAGAAAACCCGCCAGCTGCTGACATCAGGAAGCCGGAAGACTAGACTATAGGGCTGTGAGGGACACAACCCAGAGCCCAAACCAGGGTAGGTTGACCTCCTTTAGTTCGTGCAATCTGTTCTTTTTTGTGGTTATACCGTTATGCCCCTACAAGTCCCTCACCCAGTAAAGCTTGTTCATTGACTTCATGGTTTCCGGTGTTTCTGATGTTTCTTTTTGACCAAATTCACTGGCTCCAATACAGTTTTGCAATCTCGCCAGAGAGAAACCAAGTCATTTACCACACTCCCCCTTTTCCAGATGGATGCAAAGAGATTGAGCCAGCCGTCGTGTTTGAGAGTGTTCCAGAAGGCAAAAGGCCAGAAGCGTACACGAGGTCTGAATTCCGAACTCAGCACTCCCCACCCTTTCACAAAGTCTTCGAAAAGAACGAAAGAACCTGACAGCACAGCACACCGTGACCATTTTCCACAAACAAGATTAAATATTCGAGTGGCCTACCCAGAAATCCAGTGAAATGAGATCCTGGAGCTGTAGGGTACATGGTAAAGACCTCTGTTTTGGGAGAGCATCCCTATCAAATTATATGATAAACCCACGCACCCAAGCTCAATCCAAGCTTCCCATTCTTCCCCACTGCATGACTACACCTCCCCGTCCCCAACACCAGTTTGTTCAGAAGCACCAAAGCGATCATGAGCTATCTCAATTCTGACTTAGGCAGAGGGCGAGGCACCCCAACTCAAACCTCATGGTGAGGTGGAACATGGCCTTAAAATGATGTTTCTTGAACACATGGGTCTCAGGTTGCCGAAGTGGGGAGCTTTGCAAGCTTAGCTTGCTTCATCTTGCTTCCGTACCACACGGAAGACTTTGATTACATAGATCTGCATTTAGTAAATTATAGTACGATATATAGATATGCTGTGTATGTTATTTGTGTACCCACATGTCTATGTGCATGTAGAAGTTTGCACATATCTCCTGGACAGGTCTACTGGTCTATCGCATGCGATGCTGATGCTTCCCTTGGCCAAGGCACTGTTGGAAAAATGCCCGCGGAGTAGAGGAAACCTCAAATGAGCTACAGGTGAGCCACTTCTTTGTGAGTGAGACCCCCAGGGCTGCCTGGTGACCGCGACATGGACTGGCGATGGGTTCATGTGGCCTTCATCCCCCAAAAACATACCAAAACGCCATCCTTGCTACAAGAAAAGGCTTGCTTACTGGAGACCACCGCTACGAGCTTCTATCATTCAGATCGCTCCGTGGCGGGCTCCAATTGCTCAAAGGAGGTCATATCGGATTGATGTCCAACTCCTGGGGCAAAGCAAGCACTTTGTTGGCTCTTGTGGAGGCAAAGCAGGAAGGAAGCGAAGGTAGAGTCCCAAAGGAAGCAAAGCAAAGTAAGCAAAGCAAGCACTTCTTTTCGGAGGCTGTTGTCAGAGGTGAGCCCGATGAAGCACTGGGCAAAGACCTACCTTCTCTGCAGGTCGTTGGCACCCTCTCCGGCAGTTGGCACATCCCCTTCGAGGGTTCTCCGGAAGCAGCTCAGGATGGGTCTGAAGGGTTCGAAGGTCCGTCTGACACGTCAAGGTGGTGAGAGCCTGAGGTGGGGACGTCATGAAGACCCATGAGCCAGCAGTGGCCAGCAGTTGCAACGGAATGGTTTCTAGTCCCATCCAGGGGCCGTGGATGTGACAGGGGCACCCCTATATAACCTCCATGGATAGCACGCTGGCATGTGTTCTCATCTCATTCTATGAATTCCTGTGATATCCTGCCTCGCGCAAGGTGTAGCAGTACATGGTTTACAACATCCTCCAATTGTCGAACACTCATAGCAACTCTTTGCACAACTTGGCAGGCTACCAGGTGCTGTTGATGATACCTATACAAAGGGAACCCCAATCAAATCGGATCCAAGTCTGAAGATTGTTGGACATTTGTTGTCTGACAAACCCAGTGTAGCTGGATCTCTCGTTCATGGAAAAGTTTGGAAATGGGACCGTGGTTCCACAAATAGCTTAAGGGGGACAGCCGAACGAAATGATTCACATTGTTCACATTGGGGTCAACCCTGTATATCATAGCATCATAATCACCCTTCCAATTCGCACTCACACCCGGACTGTCAATTCTTTAGGAACCCCCAGGTTCAGTATCCAGAATTGACACTAAAAAATCAAGAACATTCTCTAAAGAATCAAAAGCCAGATTGCATCTGCTAAAGAATTGCAGACTTGAAGGAAAAGCTCAAAAGGCCTAAAGAATTGACAGTCCGAGTTCGAGTGGAACAAAGTCGACTCATGCATGTTCTTCTTGATGCTTGCTTATGGATGATCCTGGTATGGTCTCTGCATCTGTGTGTTGAGCCCATGCTAGGATTTGCAAATCTGGCTTTGCAAAGACTCTTTTCTCTAAAAAATCCACCCCATTCTCGAGCTAACGCTCGACAACCAAAGTCTCTAATAAATCAACCCCCTCTTGGCGTTATAGAGAATGGGAACCCCCAGGTTCCAGTTGTAGACTGGCACTGTATATTTTCATCCGTGATTGTTTTTTATGACAACCCGGGTTGTCTGATTTTTTAGAGGAAATGCGCACAGGGATGCATCATATCACCATATCCTAACCATCCTGTGTGGAATAGTTGCATACATTAGGCCCATTAGTAGGGTGAATGATGGAACTTGTATGTCGTTATATGCAATCATGGAACTATTCCATAGATGGGACGGTCTGGGATTAGGTCGATTTGTCTCCCAACTTTACTCCTCATCGACTCGACCCATCAGTTCACCCCATTCGTCCCAGGAGCCGTAGCAGCCGGCCTGGGAGAAAAGGGCTGGCGCAGGCGGTGAAAAGGGGCGTTGGTGCCAAAAAGAATCATCAACTACCCAAAACCCTCCATGGGACTGGCATATTTACCTACCTTTGGCTCCAGATCGGGGTGGTTCAACGGTCAGGAAAACGACAGCCCGGCTGCCAAGTCGGCGGTGAGGGGGTCGGAAGCTCGTTTTCCATGTGCACACATCAAACATTCCATGTATGGACTATTACATTGGACTATTTATACCACCCTTGAAACCACCCCAATCATCCCCAATCTATCATTACGGCAGTTCCATGTTACTTCTTTAGGTGTGGGACAGTGCGCCAAGATTCTGTTCAGTCCAGCTTGATCCCCACGGCCGAATCGGCGCTGACCTCTCACCAGCGGTACCAACAAACCCACCCGGTGACGCCGAATGACCTTGACGACAGTTGTGCCCTAAAGGTCGGGAACGGACCTTATGAAATGCATCGAGGTTGGGCAAGTGATTTTATTGCGGGACATCGCTTTTTGGATGTTTTTGGACTAGAAAATCCGACCAACCCAGAATTGGTCTTAAAAAATGCCTCACCCACTCCACCCCCAGAACTGACAAAAATGCGCGATATTTTGACTGGCCTGACGAAGAGGTTTTATATGGTTTTATGCAATTCATGGCTTGTCGGTTCTCCGAAAAACGGGGAACATCACACTTGAACCATCTTGAACTTGTGATTTACACATAATGGCAACACTTCATTGAATACAACACTTTATAGTTGCAAAAACAAAACATGCATTACTACAAAATGCATAGACCAAACCAGTCTAATCCAAGATGACTGAACAAAAACACACTACAAAATGAGTGGCCTCAGTGTCTCCTTGATAAATGCACACTTTGTCATGACCATATTTTGACTGGCCTGCGACCCCTGTGTGTATGTAGAATCTCATTTTATACTGGCCTCAAGGCCACCCATTTCATAGTGGAAATTCTAAGGGTGATTGAAATGCTTGGGGTTTTCATAGAAAATGCAAAACTCGACCAGGAGGTCAGTTTTAAATGATTTCAGACTGCAAGTCCACATGTTCGATGTTTTCCGCTCTTGTCATCTTCGAATTGCTCTGATGTCAGCAGCTTTTCCCCAAACCGTCTGGACCCTCTCTCCCAGGCCACCCGGAAGCTGCTCGAGTCCGCCAAGCGCCCCCCGGCGCAGCTCCACATCCTGGGCTGAGGAAGGAGTGGTCGGATCCAGCGGACGTCTATGTTGGCCTCAGGAGACCCCAACGATGTAGAACACCCCAATCATGGGGTGTTCATTGACCATCCCGGATGTATGTGGGTGTTGGTACGTCGATATGTATATGTTTGCTTCTTAAGTCTTCTACTTCTGGTGCCAGCCCCCTACAGGAGGGCTTTTGGGGCGGCCAGCAGTTCAGTGTGTGGGTTGCCTCCCCACGAGTGAAAGAGAATCCAGCGAGGGTTGTGTGATCGAAGCGCCGAGTCCATTTGTGGAAGCAAAAGGTTAAAAGCCTAAAAATGGAACCTGGAAATGGACCAGACTGGAAGACTATATGTTCCTCTGCAGCCCAGTGGTGTTCAGGTTCCATGTTCATCTTCCAGGGTGTATACCGACCCCAGATCTGGCGAGTTCCTTGAAAAAGTGTTTTCTGGTGTGGGAGAAGGCGTGTGAATCATCACACCGTGATGCCAAAAGCAAAAAAACACACGGCTTTTGGACGATCCACCGTGTTCGGCGGCAGCACGACTCATCTATCAACGGATTTGGCTGGACCGCCCCATCAAGCTTCATCCTTCTTCGGATGCTCTGGGTCATGTGGGGAACATGACGGGGAACTTGATTCATGGCTCAACCCACGCCCCAACAGGCCAAAGTGCTTGGCAACAGCGTAGCCCATGGAGAAGGGCACCAAGCCTGCTAAAGAGGCCTTGGGACGCAAACGCGGCAAATCTTTAACATCCGGGAAACCAGAAGTGAAATTGGTTGCCTGGCCCCTCTTGTGCAGGAGAAGTCTTCAAACCTCACTGGAACATGTTCAAAAATTCCAACCGGCGGGAAATGAGCTGACAAACACTGATCCTGCCTGGGCCCAGTTTCTTCCAGATTTGGCTCTAGCAGCATTGTGTCAACCAGCCACATGACGAAAAAGACCAACCAACCAAGTAATTCCTGCCCCTCACGAAGGCAGAACACCTGCCTGAGAACGCCAACCCCTTTGGCCAACCCCTTTGGCCTCCGGTCAAACGCCCGCTGTTCTCGCCCGCTTGGTCTCCATGCTCGCCTCGTCCCACGACGTGTCACACCGAGTGCCCCGGACCACCAGGTGTAGGGCGGCGGTCGGCATGAACCTCGGGGAGGCGACCGAAGCAGCGCAAAACAAATCGAAAAGGGCAAATGGAGGCTGATCTATCAGCCCTACCGGTGAGCCATTGGGGCAATGGGATGCAATTCGGGGTACCTCTAAAAAAGGAGCCCTATGGGGTCAATGCAGGTATGACAATGGTATTACATTATATGTGTGGAGTGCCCTGGCAACGGCGATTGGCAAAAGACCACATCCTCATCCAGTCGATGAGCCGCTGCGAATGACCTCGCGGACCATCGAAGAAGGCTCCGCTTGGCGCGGGTGGGAGCCTTATGAACAACGGTTCGCGACGAAGTGGAGACTGACGAATCTGGCTGAGCAAATCGGCACAAATGTGATTCCCTTTAGTGGCAAACGAGTTCATACTGCCAGATTGAAGTATCTCAAATGCATGTCTAAAAACTCTTTCCTTCCACCTCTAGACACTCCAAGCAGCCTTTGTTTGGTTGGTTCGACCCCAAACCCAGGTTGGAGGACTCGGGTACAAACCGCCACATCTCATCCCAGGTCCCTAGGTCCCCGGGCCCTGCCAAGCCTAAACGGCTGGTGACATGCACCGTGTTGAGCGACAACTGAGGCGGAGGAATGAAGCGAAACAGATTTCATGACATGGAGCGATTCCAAAGATTTTTGCCATGTGCCTTTGACAAAGACATATAGACAAATATATAATGGGAACATGAAACTTTGAAAGATCTAAGGCTAAGGGCCAGGGTGAGCATTTTATGTTTAAGTGTCACACACCCAAAATCACCCGCAGCAAATCCCCATGGAGCATTGACCACCATGCACGGCGCTTCACTTAACGCCCCTTTCGCTGCCGAACCGAACCCGGACTGCCATCGTCCACGGACGGGCCGGGTCAACGGGTCAACGGGGAAGTACAACAAGTGGTCAATTCGAATGTCAAAGAGATTTCATGGATTGAGCCAATTGCCAGGTTAAAGCTGGCACGGGAGATGAATTTCATAGTTTTAAAGGATTAAACAGGCCAGCTTCTTTGGTGAGAACCTGCTATGAAGAATCGACCGTTGTTTGGTCTTCACCGGCCACGTGCTACGAGGTGCTGCGAGGCCCAAGCATGGTACGTAAACACACCTCTACCCTATAGGCTTCCAACCATCATTGATTTAATGGATTTTGCACTACAAGACCAGGTCACTCATTTTTTAACATGCTCCTGGAAGTCTAGGGTCTAGAAAGATGATGCAATTTTTTCCAGGGCCTTTTGGTCTAGGGCGGATCCTATAGTTGAAGGGGTGTCGGTGATGTACGGATGGCCCCGAAAAGCGGTGACTTTGAGGTCTCCATTGGAAAACAAAAAACTGGTGGGTCCAGGTCTCAAAGTGAACTGCAGGGAGCGACCAGTCTTAGACCAACGAGCGAAACGAGGGTGCCACTGACCTCTTCAAACGAGCGAAAACTGCATCCACGTTCCACCGAGCTCGCCGAGCGAACAGCGGTATTTTGAGAAAAGCACCACAAGCTCCACTGAGGGTCCCCACGGGCTTCAGTGGAACGAGAGGCTTAGCCTGGCAAGCTTGGGAGGAAACAGGAGTGCTTCCCTACAGGTCAAGGACCTCATTTCACGGGTCCGGTGATGCAAAAACAGGGGTGCACGCAGAACGCAGGTGCAAAGGTATGCACAAACACCCTGTACATGCTTATGTCATTGTGTGTGCAACCCCGAACAGATACGGTGCTCAATGAGGTCAAGGACGTTCTATTCGCTCCTTGGACTAGAGGATGAGTTCAGGGCCCTTCCAGCTTGGAGGGTACAGGAACATCGTTTGCGGGTATATGCCATCCACTTGCATATTATGACGTGCTCGTTGGCGGGTCTTTCTCTAAAATCACTTGATCAGGGGCCGGCGAGCCAACACGGGCACCTCTCACTCACCACCGTGAAACCCAGAATTTGGATATGACTTCTCTCTGAGGCTAAATGGTCGTTTCGCTCACTTTCGTGCTTGAGGGCCAGCAAAATGTTCGTGTTCTGTAAGTGAACCAAGTATTCCCTTGCCTGACTTGGTTCATTGGCTGCATGCCTCGCAAACACGTCTTCATCTGCATGCAAAACCCGCCCCTGTGCCGCCAGCGTTTCGCTAGGGGACTAGACTCATCTGGTGCCGAGGCTGGATGTATCACTCGGCGGCTGTCACCACAGCTGCTGGCCGTGAACAAGACGTTCAAAGCTGTTTGGTCTTACAAAGCATGTCTTAAAGGACTAAAGGATGTGAACATCTCTGGGGTATGACTCTGGTCAGGGAACATGTTGATGTTTTTGAACAGTCCTGGTGACCTGGTGGAACATTTAAACCTGGTACAACCATGGTAGAATGAAACAATTAAACAGATTTGGTCTGGTCTTACACTTACACAACTTTGGGTGCCAAACACGAAAAAGGATTGTTGGTGCTTTGTACGCACCTACGTGTGATTGAAGGTGGAAGCGACCAGCGTTCCACCACCGGAGATACAACAAATACACTCCCGAAAACTAACATGGTTTTGGCAAACCACCTGTTTGTAGTGAAATGGTCTTCCTTTCGGGGCCATTCTCCACTTCCATGTTAGTTCCAGGGAGTGTAATTAGCACGGAATACTTGGATGCTCTCCGTGTCAGCGTAAGACCTGAACGTCATGCGTTCCGTAACGTCATGTCGAGTCTGACCGCACGAGTCATGCCGGATGATGTCTGGTGCTGGAAAATGATGAACCCACAATGAACTATAGCCGCATTAGGACAACCTCTCAAAGAAACCACACGACGCGTAACCAAATTCAATTCACTACACGACGTATTCGTACAAACTTGGCATCCGGAACGTGACCTGCTTCTACCTTCTCGAAGCCTTGCTTACATGTATATACTGTGCGTGATTATATATATATACATATGTGTGTGTGTGTGTTGAGATTCCCACTGCAAAAGGAACATGCTCATGTCCCCGTGCTGCCGGTACACTTTTGTCTCCTCCAAAACCGCTCTCAGACCCCCGCCTCCGCTTCTTCAGAACCTGAGGAGACGAAGCTTTGCCCCCGATGGTGTGGACGACCCACACACACAGGTAATACCCAATATAGACATTATTTTGGACAACAGAATCAAAAAAACTAACTAATCCTACAGGTCAATGACCTCATTTTACTGGAGTTGGTAATGCAAAAACACCATTCAAGCAAGCAAACGACCTGGTTTTACTGGGTCGTTGGACTTGTAGGGTAATTAGTCAGGATATAAACTATCTTCATCCATGCACATGCGTATGGCCTGGCACATTGACCTATCAGGTGGTGCTTTGGGGAGAGAAACTCTCTCCGCATCTCCACGGAACGACCGGCTACACACGCTCGGAACGAGACATGTTCGTGCCTTCTGCATGGAATTCCACCTGGTGAAGCACACACAAACCAAAAAAATACTATATATTGTATTGAAATTTTGTTTGTTTTATATTTGTTGTTTTTCTGCTGAAGGCCTTCCGCCCTGGTTTCAAGTTTGCACAGACTGAGAGATGTGGCATTTCTCGTCTTCTGCTTGGCAGGAAGGCGAGGAAGGCGTCCGCTTCTTCCTGGTTCCGGGCGGGTCCGCGGCAGGTCAAAGTGAAAAGTCAAAGTGAAGAAAGAAAAAGATCCAGTGGGTCTTTAAAACTCTGCAATCCACCTCAAAGTTGGCTCCAAAATGGCTGTTCTTCATTCATTTTACGACCAGAATCTCCTTGTAGTAATAGTGAAGTAGTGTATCCCATAATGCATTAAGCATCCTAGCATCCCAAACCTCATCGGTATCTGGCGAACTGGCAAAGGACTTCTTCCATCATTAGATGATGAATAAACTATCCAATATCTTGGGTGTATCTATCCAATTACCAGTGATTAACAGTGGATGATGATGGTTTAGTTGCAGGCCCTTCTCCAAAATAGTGATGTTCTTGTTTACAGACGGCTCTACTAATTGACCCTAGGACAAACAAATGACCCAAGGCATCCCAAAGCCGAGGCCTATCAGAATCATCTCCACGCAGGGCGGCGATGCGCAAGCTGCGCAAAGACTCTGAATGAAACGAGTCCAAAAACCCATCGAACCCCTTGCAGCATCGCCTGCGCGTCCCTCCTTCACTGTGCACACTCGCTGTGTAAGTACCCGCCGCCCAACCAAGTGGAAAAACGATCTGTTTTAACTCAATATGCAGTCTTCCTTTCGGGGCCATGCCATCCACTTCCATGTTGGATGCTGCAAGTAATCGTCCCTGGTCCATTCTTGCGAGCCCTTCTGACGTCTAATACCAGCTGGAACGCTGGAAATGACACAAGAAACCTGAGCCTGTGAGGAACTCAGTCGCACATCGAAAAGCTCTGCAGTCCGCGATGCCTTTTCTGGTCTGCCGACCAATTGTGCCATTTGATCCGCTGAGTGACTGCTCTTCAGCGCAGCTTCCGGGTTTTCGTTTTCGGCGAGAGCCCACGGATAGCAGACCGCGAAAGGCGAACGGACGTTCTTTTGGGAAGGACCCCTTCCTGCAACCACAACCTTGTCAGACAGACTGCGCAAACTGCGGCATCATGCGTTGAAGTTGGCGCACACTGCGGCACCATGCAATGAGGGCCAAGCAAAGGCGCCCACTTCGCTGCAGAAAAACGACGTGTCATTGAACACTGATGAACATAGCCATCGAGAAGAGCTTGCTGAACCCATCTGCCTCTCATCTGAATGAGACTCCTCCTCTCGGCAGTGCCAGCACGCACTGAAGGGCCTCGTCCAGTTTGAGGTTGGCCTCCCAGCGGGCCTGATGAAATCACTCCTTTTGTATCGCGGAAGGCCCTTGTTCGATGTGGAGTCTTGGGAGAGCTGAAGGAACGCGAGGGTGAGCTCAACTAAGCAACTGACAGAGGTGCCCCAGTGCCCCAGTGGATCCAATTGCTGTAGACTATTTACAGCTAGGAATCAGTGGTTCCAAAGACTGTGGGGGCAGTTT